CAAGATTGTGTCATCTGCATAACAAAGGTTACTGATGAGTCTTCTTCCAATCCTGATGCCACATTCCTCCTGATAGAGCCCAGCCTACTGGATGATCTGTTCCACATATAGATTGAAAAGGTACAGAGATAGGATGCATCAGTGACATACACCTTTCCTGATTGTGAACCATGCAGTGTTTCCTAGCTGTGTTCTGACAACTACCTCCTGGTCTAAATAGAGGTTTCACATAAGCACAACCAAATATTCTTGTTCTTCTCAGAGTTAGCCACAGTTTGTTCTGATCCGCAGAGTCAAACAGAAGGACAGACATTCCTCTGGTACTTTGCTTTCAGTCAAGATCTGTACCCTGCACCATTTCTTCTCCCCTCCTCCCATTTCTTTAGTCTTTTTCATTCACTGCCCAATTTCCACATGCATATGAAACAACTGAAAATACCATGCCTTGCTTTCGTCAGACCTGTCTTAGTCTTTGACAGCCTTGCTCTTTAGCACTTAAAAGAGGTCCTCAACACATTTGTCCAATGTAATACATCTTGACTTCTCGCTTGCTGCTTTTGTGGGTGCCAGCTGTGGATTCAAGTAAAATGAAATACTTGACAATTCCAGTCTTTCTCCATTGATTATAATGTTGCTTATTGGTCCACTTGGCCAGTATTTCTTTCCCATTTAAGTTGAGGTATAACTCATACTGAAGGCTATAGCCTTTTCTCAGTAATTGCTTCAAGTCCTCTTCACTTTCAGAAAGCTAGATTGTGTCATAGCACAACCCAGGCTATTCATGAGTCTTCTTCCAATCCTGGTGCTGCGTTTTTCATACAATCCAGCTTCTTCATTACTTGCTCAGTATACATATTGAACAGGTATGGCAAAAGGATACAGGCAAAAGGATGCACAACTTTCTGATTTTAAACCATGCCTTATTTACTTAGTTTATTTGAATGACTCTTCGTCCATGTACAGGTTCCACATGAACATAATTAAGTATTCTGGAATTTCCATTCTGTTCAGTGTTATCTAATATTATGATCCACAAAGTGAATGCCTTTGCTTAGCCAACGAAACACAAGTAAATAGCTTTTTCATATTGCTTCCCAAGATCATTCTGATACTATCAGTGATAACCTTTGTTCTACAGCATCTTCTGAATCCAGCTTGAGTTTCTGGCAGTTGATCTACTGCTCCAGTCATTTTTAATAGTTTTTGGCAGGATTTTACTTGCATGTAATAGTACTAGTGGGAGAAGGATGGGTGATCTCCTCCCGTACACTTAACTGCCTCTGAAAACCTGCTGGAGGGTCAGACATGGGTTGGTCCAATCCTACGGTACACAACAACAACAATAGTAATTATTTTGTTTTGTTTTAAATTTTTTTAAAAAATAATGACATTGGTAACTCATTAATACACTTGTACCAGGAAACTAGGAGACATATTGCATTGGAGAAAGCTGCAGTTAGTGATCTCTCCAAATGATTGAGGTGTCAGGTTGTCAGTTTGAGGACTAAGGTGTGTCTGATCCAGCCCATAGTCTTTTCATTCACTTGCTGTGCATCTGAGAGCTGGACAATGAATAAAGGTGACAGAAGGGTTGATGCCTTTGAGCTGTGGTGTTGGACAATATCCATGGACTGTCAGAAAAACAAAGAAATACATCTTGGAGAAGATGCAGCTAGAGTGCGCCTTGGAGAAAAAGATGGTGAAGCTTTGTCTCACATACCTTGGGCATGTTGCTTTGCTGTTTTTAGGTGGTTGAGTACAACCTATGTGAACCCTGTTCTACTCTGGGCCATCCTCAGACTTCCTCACACATTAGAGCCCATTGTGGCAATGGCAATCACTGTGACAATCTACTTGGTTGAGGGTCCTCCTTTCCTTCACTGACCCTCTACCTTTCTGAGCATCATGTCCTTCTCCAAGGAACACTAGCACCCTCTCCTCCACTCATAGTAGGTGACTGAAAAGACCATGGCTTGAATCAGACACACCTTAGTCCTCAAACGGACATCATTACTCCTCAATAATTTGGAGAGGTAACTTACTGCAGACACATCTCCTGATTTCCTGACTGGTAGGACCAAGGGTGTTAATTGTGAATCCAAATAAGATTAAGTCATTGACAGTTTCAATCTTCTCTCCATTTAATTTGATGTAGCCTATCAGTCCAGTGGTAAGAATCTTTGTTTTCTTGACATTGAGATGCAATGCATAGTTGAAGTCTGCATTATTTGATCTTCTGCAACAAGTACTTACAGTCCTCACTTTCAGCAAGGAAGGTTGTGTCATCTGCATAATGCAGGTTATTTATGAGTCTCCCTCTGATTCTAATGCCACATTCCCCTTCACAGAGTCCAGCTTCTCGAATAATTTGTTTAGTATATGGATTTAATAGGTATGGAGAGAGAACACAACCTTGACAAACTTCCTTCTTAATTTTAAACCATGTGAGGAGAGACTGGTCCTTGGAGAGGGACATCATGCTTGGGAGGGTGGAGGGACAGCACAGGAGAGGAAGGCCCTCTATGAGGTGGATTGATTCAGTGACTGGGATAATTGGGATGGGAGTGTCAGAGACAGTGCGATTGGCACAGGACAGAGCAGAGTTTAGGGCCGTTGTACATAGGGTCGCTATGAGTCGCAAGCGACTCGACGGCACATAACAACAACAGTGTTTCTTTGCTCTGTTCTCACAACAGCCTCTGTCTAGGTATAGGTTTGCATGAGTACAATTAAGTGCTCTGGGATTCCCATTCTTAGCAAATGTTAGCTATAACTTTGTTCTGATCCACACAGTCAAATGCCTTTGTATAGTCAATAAAGCATACATAGACATTCTTCTGGTGCTCTTTACTTTCAGCCAGGATCCATCTGATAGCAGCAATGATATCCCTGGTGCCATGTCCCTTCTAAATTCTGCTTCAAGTTTGGCATTTCCGTACCTATGTTCAGTTCTAGCCGTTTTTGAATGATCTTCAGCAGTATCTTGCTTGCATGTGATACTCATGTTATTGTCCAATAGTTTCCACATTCTGTTGACTCACCTTTCTTGGTAATAGGAACAAATATGGACCTCTTCCAATTCATTGGCCAGACAGGTGTCCTCTAAATTTCCTGGTACAAACTAGTAAGTGCATCCAAGGCTGCATCTGTTAACTGAAACAAGTAAATTGGTATCCCATCAACTCCTGGGGCCTTATTTTTTGCCAATGCGCTCAATGCAACTTCCACTTCTTCCTTCATTACCATTGGCTCCTAATCATATGATACTTCCAGGGCATGTTGCTGGAAGAGGCTATTCCTCGGAGAGGGATATCATGGTTGGAAAGATGGAAGGTTGGCAAAGCAGAGGAAGATCCTCAACTAGATGTATTCAGAAGTGTGAGGATGTCCTAAATGAAGATAGGATTCAGGTCTGTTGTTCATAGGATTGCTATTGTTCATAGGTTGCATATTCAAATAGATGACACCTAACAACCACCATTCCGGACGTCTGGATTTTTCTGCATATATTCAACAAATAATGTATATATTCTAGTGATGACACACAACAGCAAAACAGAAGTGCTGTGTACTATGTTGTGGTGTTGATATGTGCCATTGAGTCGATTTCAACTCATAGCGACCCTATGTACATGAGCCCTAAACGCCATTCTATCCTATGCCAACCTCACCATCTCAAACACACTCATTCCCACCACTCTAGTCACAGAATCAATCCATCTCATCGAAGGTCTTCCTCTCCTTCGCTGACCCTCCACCCTGCCAAACATGATGTCCCTCTCCAAGGACTAGTCCCTCCTTGCAACATGCCCAAAGTATGTCAGACGAAGCTTCAGCATCCTTGACTCCAAGGAGCATTCTGGTTTCACCTTCTCCAGGTCAAACCTGTTTGTTCTCCTGACTGTCCATGGTATATTCAACACTCTTCTCCAGCACCAAAGCTCAAAGGCATCAATTCTCTATCACCCCTATTCACTGTCCAACTCTTCGATGCATAGCATGTAATTGTGAAGACTATAGCCTGGATCAGGCACACCTTAGTCTCCAGCCTGATGTCGTTGCTCTTCAGTACCCTTGAGAGGTCCCTCACAGCTGACTTTCCCAATGCAATTAATCTCCTGATTTCCTGGCTCCTGTTACTAAGAGTGTTGACTGTGTAGCCAAGCAAATGAAAGCTGTTAACTCTCTCAATGTCTTCACCATCCATAGTGATGCTGCCAATTGACCCAGTGGTGAGACTCTTTGTTTTCTTGATGTTGAACTTCAATCCATATAGGAGGCTGCAGTCCTTGACCTTCTGCAGCAATCGCTTCAGGTCCTCCTCAATTTCAGGAAACAGGGTTGTGTCATCTGCATAATGCAGGTTGTTGATGACTCTTCCACCAATCCTGATGCCACATTCCTCCTCGTACAGCCCAGCGTCTCAGAGGATCTGTTCTGCATACAGATTGAAAATGTAGATTTATAATATATATGGGGAAAATGTTCAGGAAATGTGGCGGTATTCGACATGCTCTGGGAAAGCCATGAAATTGTGTTGTGTGAAGAGTCCAGCAGAGGGAACAGCCAGTGCTGTTGTGAGATGATTTGTGTGGATCAGTTAATATTGCCGTCTGGCCTGTTTAATCAGTACTATTTTCAATCATTCATAGTATTTCTCTAAGGTCTATGTGCAGTGTAATGTTTCTGGCTCTGGAAAAGGAGAGAATCGTGTTTGGCAGCCCCAGACTGCCATCCCGTTTTGTTAGCTCAGCGTCACCTGAAAGAGGTGTCTTCGACAAAGCTCCGTTTATCTGAAAAGTACATGAATGAAGAATCTGTACTTTCCAGCCAGTGGTCACAGCATCTGCAGAGCAAGATCTTTCCAGCAAGCCAGCCTTTGACAAGTGAGGCAGTTGCACCCACTAGGTCAGCGAGCAAAACGTCATCAGGATGCGCCGGAAGCGCCCGCACGCTGCCTAGGAGACAAGACGCCGCCCGGCCGCGCCCACTGGGCCGCCATGGAGCTGTCTCCCGGGCCAGGCGAGGCTCTCCACATTGTGGACGACGACTCGGACCCGGAGCCCGACTCCGACGCTCAGGCCGAGGCCTATGTGGCCCGCGTGCTGACTCCGCCGAAGGCGGGCCTGGAGCCCGTGCGCGCCCCGCCGCTGCCAGTGCCCACCACGTCCCCCAGTGCCTTGGAGCCGCGGGTGACGTACAAGGTTTCGGCGGCAGGTACTCCGGGCCTGCTGAGCCTGCCCCCGGAACTCTTGCTGGAGATCTGCGCCTACCTGGACGCGCGCCTCGTGCTCCAGGTCCTGCCGCGCGTGTGCCACGCGCTGCGCGACCTCGTGCGTGACCATGTCACCTGGAGGCTCCGCGCACTACGCCGCGTCCGCGCGCCCTATCCGGTGGTGGAAGGTGCGCGCTCCTCGGGGCCAGGGGTGCGCGATCAGGTCAGGATTGGGTCTGTGGCGAGGATGACCATCGGGCGCCTGTATGCTAGGGACGCAGCCCCAGAGCGGCCTTTGTGACTGACTGCTGGCTCTGGATAGAGGCCGAGAGGTGGTTACTAATGTTACACCATATGGCGGATATTTGGAGTCCTGAGATTTTGGAAACCTAAATCTCTGGTCCTGAAAGTCCTCAGGCTTTGAGTTTGTTGATACTAAATTTCTTACCCTCGACTGACAGCTGACAAAGGAATTTGAACTCTCAGGCTGTGGGAATCTGTACTTGGCATTCAAGATAAACCTAAGAATCTTTGATCTGGAGACCTGGTGATACCAAAACCTCTGATTTCCTGAACCTTGACTTAGAAGGGAGTGAGGCCGGGACCCAACTTCTTGAACTCAGAGTAGGGTTTAAAGATTAGGATCCCTGACATCAGCCAGGACAGGTCAGCAAGCTCTGGATCTAGCTTAGGGTCTTAGGAAAGGGCAAGTGCTCATTCTTCCTGCCCCGGGAATCATGAGTCCTTGGGAGGCAGCTTGAGGAGCCCGGGAGTTCATATTGTTGATCATGAGACAGTGACTCCTTTGATCTTCAGGCCCTTGGCCCATCCTGAGTAATTAGTCAGGTGGTTGATTATCCTAATTGGAAGCTTTGATTCTGGAGAGAGTAGTGATTCTCAAGGTATTGAGCAAGTGGGCTGGACCCTTCTTGACAACCTTAATAAACACAGATACTTGAGCCTTTGGCACAGATTCCACACCTTGAAAAGGCCCCTTGATGTACAGGTACTAGTCTGAAAAATCCTTCTTTGTGTCTAGAGCAGCAGTGGGGATTAGTCAGAGGCCACAGCTCCGATGCCCAGCCTGATGAGTGTGGGGTGAGGCTATATTTCAAAGCGCCATGGCTGCTGCTGCCCTTTTCCTTAGTCACAGGCTGGGAGACTAGACCTGAGAGAGTAGTGCTGAGACCCCCATAATTGAATTTCTGGGGTAAGGATGGAGCAGTCTTAGCTCTGCCTGAGATGTGAGTGTGCAGATGAGCTCACAGTGGAGTCGGGTGAAGCATTCAGTGGGGGTTGTGTCCTGAAACTCTGGTGCTGGTGAGGCTTGCTGGAGCTGGGGTGGGACTGGCCAGCTGGTGTGGGTGGCAGGATCCCTGCCCACTAGGGAACCTACTCCTTGTGCCTCACAGAGGAGGACTTCGACTGGCCCAGCGCCTGCATTGAGCTGGAGCAGCACCTGGCGCGCTGGGCCGAGGACGGGCATCAGGCTGAGTACTTCTGCCTGCCCGATGGGCACTTTGCTTCTGTTGACTCGGTGCTGCTGCTCCAGGTGAGCTGGGTCCAGGTGGGGGCCAGGCAGAGGTGGGGCAGGCTGATCCTCAACAACACCCCCTCACTCTCCTGCCAGGACGGGGCGCTCTGTCTGTCAGGCTCCCGAGATCGCAATGTCAATCTGTGGGACCTACGGCAGCTGGGGTCGAAGCCCAGCCAGGTGCTGGTCAAAGCCCTGGGCACCCCGCCAGACAGCACTCACAAGGTGAGAGACGGAACAAGGAAGAAAACCTGCAGCTTGTGGGGTGAGGGTGGGGCTGTGGGTGGCTGTGGACATGCCAGGCCTCACATTTGGATTTTGACTCTGCCCCGGTCGGCGTGATTTTGGGTGAGATGGATGATGTCTCTGTGCCTCAGTTTTTGCTTTTGTCCTGTGGGCAGTTATGAGGATGAAGACGTTCACTGGGGATATTCATTATATGTCAGGTAAACCCCCCAAAAGGGGTCCCTAGGTGGCACAAACGGTTACGTACTCAGCTCCTCACTGCAAGGTTGGCAGTTCAAATCTACCCACAGGTCCCTCAGAAGAAAGACCTGGCTCTCTACTTCTGACATGACAAGAGAGTATGACCCAGAGGTCTCAGCCTGTGGAGTCTCACTCTGAGAGACACGAGATCACCTTGAGTTTGAATCACTTTTACAGTAACTATTCTTTGTGTATGTGTGGTTTTGGTTTTTTGGTGGTGTTTTTTTTTTAAACTATCCAGAGAGGAACACCCATAGGAATCAGCCTTGAACTTGCTGTCATTTTTTTAAAATTTATTTTATTATTTTTGTGTGAGTGTACGGTCAAATCAGATCTGACTGGTACAGGAGGAGATTGTCCCTCCTTCCCCGGCAGAGCATCTGGTGGATTCGAACCATGCGCCTCAGGTATTGTAGTTGCAGCTCCTTACCACTAGGCCACCAGAGCTCCCCTGCTGTCATTTTGTGAGCAGCAGCCCCAGAGGGTATATTTACCAGTCATTGATTTGGTCCAGTCTGGTGGCCAGGAGCTTGGGCTTGGAGCCAGACTGCTGGGCTCACATTTCTGCTCTGCTTCTTCTAGGCTGCGTGACCTTGAATGAGAGACTCTCAACTCTCTCTGCCCCAGTTTCCTTATTTGTAAAATGGGACACATCACAGTAGCTGACTCGGGGACAGGGGGGTGTTGGGTGAGGAATCAGGTGCTCCTGTTAGCTACTGAGGTTCAGCTGATGAAAAATCTGAGGGAGAAGATGTGACTTGCCTGGATCAGAGTCGTAGTGTCACTTAATCACGTGTCTTGTGGCCTTAAATCAGCATTGATGTTGAATCTCCTCAGAACTTGACGTAAACATTTAACTGGGAGGGTTGTGCTCACTCCAGGCTCTGAAGTCTGAGGGAATCGCAGAGCCCAGCACTAATCTCAGCCTGGCGCTGATTTGCTCTGGGTAGTTGGGGCCATTCTCTCCCTTCTCTGACCTTCAGTTTTATTAATAGTCTGTGAAGTGGAGATGATTATATGATGCTAGAGTTGTTGAGGAGGGAAAGCTGTGTGGCTTTGGGTGAGTCTGAGCCTCATTGCAAAACCCGAGAAGGCCACAGCCTTCCTCTCCTGGGCTCATGAGAGCCCTGAGCTAACACACAGCCAGTGAGGTGAGGCACCCTGTGTGACTTCTGTGCCCTGGTCCTGCAGGGCTGGGTGTGGTCACTGGCGGCCCAGGACCACCGCGTGTGCTCCGGCTCCTGGGACAGCACAGTGAAGCTCTGGGACATGGCGGCTGATGGGCAGCAGTTCGGCGAGATAAAGTGTGAGGGGTCAGGGGCCGGGGGGACTGGGAAGTCAGGCCTCTGGCTGGCCCCAGCCTCAGCCCCATGGTCTGTGTCTGCAGTGGCAAGGCGGCTGTGCTGTGCCTCTCCTATCAGCCTGACATCCTGGTGACGGGCACCTATGACAAGAAAGTGACAGTGTATGACCCGAGAGGTGGGCTGCGGGCCCTGGGACTGGGTGGGACAGCAGGGCTGCCCGGGATTTCAGGGGTCCTGTGGGGGAATGAGACGTTCATGGGTCTCCCAGCCTGGCCGGGATGACACATAAAGCCATGCTAATCACTCAGGTGTCCAGTGCTGTGATGGGGGCAACACACGTGATTGCAGGGGTGCAAGAGGAAGATTCACCTCTGTAAAACTGGGACACTAAGAATAACATCAGCCCCACTGGATTAGTGGGGAGATAGTGATGATAACAGTGACTCCACAGAGTTAATGGGTGGATTAGGTAAACGCGTATCCATAAAAGGTAGCGACTACTGCCTGGCACACTGGTCTGTTACTTTTGGTTTTTTATTTATTCTAATTGTGTTTAAGTGGAAGATCTGTGCCTTACCCGGAGCAGGGGGCAGAGGATGGAGGAGTGTCCAGTAGGCCCGCAGGTGGGGGTGTTGGTCTGCCCTGAGAGGAGCAGTGGGGTTTAGTCAGGAGATGGGATGGAGCCGGGGAACAGAGGCCTGAGGGGCGTGGGGTGTGAGGGGAGAGAGACGGTCTCCCGCAGGTTGGGGAGTGGAGTGGGCAGAGGCTTTTGCCAGGGAGGATGGAGGCCAGGAGGTGGAGCCGGAGCTCTGCAGCCTCTGGCCTGCTTCCTCCCTGACACACGGCCCCTGCAGCCGGCCCAGCCCTGCTGAAGAGCCGGCAGCTGCACTCGAGTGCAGTGCTGGCCTTGCTGGCCGACGACAGGCACATCATCTCGGGCAGCGAGGACCGCACGCTGGTGGTTTTCGACCGCCGGGCCAACAGTGTCCTGCAGCGACTGCAGGTGGGTGCCTCCCTGGGAACTGTGGGGACCCAGGGGCTGCGGACCCAGGGCAAGGCCTGAGCTGTCTCCCTGTCCCTCTTACAGTTGGATTCATACCTGCTCTGCATGTCCTACCAGGAGCCCCAGCTCTGGGCTGGCGACAACCAGGGCCTGCTGCACGTATTCGCTAACCACCATGGCTGCTTCCAGCTCGTTCGGGTCTGCCAAGGGCTCTGGCCTCTGGGCCTCCTTCCCTCCCCCCGGCCCTGGGTGGTGGTGGCGGGCTGGCAGCTCTTGAGAAAGCTGCACCTGAGTGCACTCACCCCTCCTCACCCTGCAGACCTTTGACGTGGGCCACAGGTCTCAGATCACAGGGATCAAACACTCGCTGGGGACTTTGTACACCACATCCACTGACAAGACCATCCGGGTGAGACCCGGGCCCTGCCCTCACCTGCCTAGAAAACACCTCTTCTCCGAGGGAGGCCTCCTTACTTCTCCCTTTGCCCCCATCAGGTGCATGTACCCACAGATCCGCCAAGGACCATCTGCACCCGCAATTACGATGAAGTGCTGAATGGGGTAAGACCTGCTCCCCACCCCCTGCCCTGGTGCCCAGTGCACTCCTGACTCCTTACGTTCCTGCCCACCCAGATCTGTGCTGAGGGCAACCTGGTGGTGGCTGCCTCCGGGGGCATGTCGCTGGAAGTCTGGAGGCTACAGGCCTGAGCAGATGAATGTGGACACTGCTGGCCAGCAGGCTGGCCACTGCCTCTGTTCTTGGGGGACATTCCCCTGTGTTGGTGCTGCCTCTGCCCTAGCCCCGCAAGCCTAGAACACCAAGAATTCTGGGCCATGGTCGAGCTGGTGGTGCTTCTGGGCTGGACCCCGTACCAACAATGATGATACTGGGGCTCCGGTCCATTCAGGGGACTGATCCCCACCCTTTGGTGATTTAGATGCCCTGCTCTCTGTTCAGAGTGAAGAAATAAATCTGATGTAATGTTATCCCGAGTGGTGTAGTCCCTGGGGCTCTCCTTGTGTCTGCTTGGAGCCAGGATGCTGTAGGAGTGTGTGTGTGTGTGTGTGTGTGTGTGTGAATGAGTGTGGGACGGTGAGTGTGCAAGAGCTGGTGTGCACCTTTGTGGGGCTGGGCATGAAAGCGTGGGTGGGTGCTTGGTTCCATGACTGTGCACCTGTACCTGAACTTGCCACAGAGTTTCATTGGAGGTGTGTCTGCAGATGTGTGTGTGTGTGTGTGTGTGTGTGTGTGTGTGTGTGAGGGAGACAGACTTGAGGCACCTGTTTCTATGATCATTCTCACCTCTTTGTGTTTGAAACACAAGTGGGCGTGCATATGTGTGTGACAGCTGTGCCTGGGAGAGAGAGAGAGTGAGTGAGTGAGAGAGAGTGATTTTCACCTGGTATGTTTGAATGGTGGGATGGGTGCGATGGATGGCAAAGCCATGCGTCCAGTCCTGTAGTTGTTGGAAGCAGGGGGCTGGGGTGAAGGTGCCTGCCGCTCCGTCCAGGCTGTATGTGTGCTGCCATGCAGTGACCCTGGAGGTGCGGGAGGGAGGCTGGACCCGGTGTATGTGTGCTGCCATGCAGTGACCCTGGAGGTGCGGGAGGGAGGCTGGACCCGGTGTATGTGTGCTGCCATGCATTGACCCTGGAGGTGCGGGAGGGAGGCTGGACCAGGTGCATGTGTGCAGGTCTACAGTCTCACCGTGCCCCATCTCGGCCCAGCCCAGCCATAGCCCAAGGAGCATTTACTTGACGTTTATTAAGGTTATTGGGTTGCAGAGCTAGAGGGTCATAAAATGGTGCAGGGCTTCTTCTCCTTGAAGGGGTTGGTGGCAGCTGGAATTCCCACCAGGAAAGGGTCACTCTTGGCCTGCTCTGTGCAGAACTGCAGCAGGTCAGAGGCCGCCTTGGATACCTGCAGAGCGACACGGTCAGCTGCACCTGGCTGCTCACCTGCCCCCCCCCACCTCCTGCCCCTCCAGGGCCCTCACCTTCACACGGTCGATGCCCGCCTCCATCCGCAGCTGCTCCACAGCCCGACGGGCCTGCCCAATGTCACTGCCAATGGCCACCTTGCTGGACATCTGAGGGAGGGCGAACAGGGCCATGGGCAGAGGGCTCAGCCTCAGACCCTGAACCCCAAGACCACCTGAGGGTCTCCACACCTTTGTCCCGTGGGGACTGAGGATGGGTGACCACTTCCCAAACCCTGGTACCTCAGCTGAAGACTCCGGTCAGGAAAATGCCTGGCTTCCTGATCTGTCACCAGACCCACACTGACTGAGTCCCTCCCCCACCACCCGCCTGTTCTCCACACCCCCTCCCTCTCCCACCCCTGCAGAGGCTTTGAAGCCAGGATGCTCATGGAGTGAAATGTCACCAGCGGGCAGCAGCTGCTTCTGCTGAGGGGGTCCCTGCCTCAGGAGGCCTGGGGATGCTGTCCTAATGTCATGTGTCACTAGGCTCCAGGACTGAGTCCTTTAGGCTGGAGGACTGAAAAGACCCTGGTGACTTTGGGCCCCCTGCTGACCTGCCCAGAACAGGACACTTTTCCTCACCAGCTTCTGCCCTGCCTGGCGTAACCCTTACCTCTCCTCTGACTACACTCACAGCTACAGATGACTTGACCCACTCCATTAGGCTGATGAGACCCCACCTCCTTTCTTCCTCTTCTCGGGCACCTCAATCCTATTTCTGCCTCAATGAGTCTGATTTATTTCCCAAACCCTGCGGCCCTGAGGAAACCTACCCACTGTGAACCCACTGCTGAAACCAAAATCCCCATTCTACTTTTGTCATCCTGACTTCTTCGGATCCCCCCCTTAAGTGCCATTGATTGGCTTCAAACTGAGTTCTGCAACTGACACTTCTGATCCCACCCTGGCATAGACCTCGACTCCATTAGGCTTCAGCTCGTCCTCCACTCCCTCCCTGATTCTTCTCCAGGAATTCAGTGGGAGTCTTAGAAAAGAAATCAGAGTCTTTCAGTCACTTCTTAATTAACTTTGTTGTTGTGTACTGTTGATTCAGATCCAACTGGCCCCAGAGGAGATTCCAGCAGAGCATCTGGTGGATTCAAACCACGCACTTCTCAGATTGCAGCACAGCTTCTTGCCACTAGGCCACCAGAGCTCCCTTCAATCAATTCTTAAAACTCCCAATGATTTCCTAGCCCTTTGAATAAGAACTCGTCTCCTCCTCTCATCACTCAGGGACCTGGATGGTCTTTTGGGTTCATTTCCTATTTATTCCTTTATTCCTCTCCTCATTGGCCACCCTTGTGATCATTCTTAAATTTGCTGATACCCCTTTATGTATAGGATACTGTTGAGGGAGCAGGAGGGCAGTGAATGAAGATAAAAGCCTGCCCTGACGGAGTGGCCATTCTAGCTGGGGAGAGGTGAGCATACAAATAGAATGCATACTATAATGTACGCTCATGTATTACATATATGAAGCAAAGTGAGGGTGAGGGTGCAGGTCAGGGAGGGCTTCTTGGAGGAGGTAACAGTTGAGCCAAAACTGAAAGGAAAGAAGGTGCTCCAAGCACAAAAAGCTGCAGGTATATTGGCCTGAGGTCAGGAAAACATTGGCATAATTTAGGAAGAGCAAGAGGTGGTGTAACTGGGAGGAGTAGTGCAAGTGTAGTGGAGGCTCAGCTCAGCAGGCCCTCTACGGGGAACGGGGAACCCATGGCTCCTTTTGTTAGGTGCCATCTAGTTGCCTGCAACTCCTAGCGACCCTGTCTATACAATGGCTCTAAAACCCTGCCCTATCCTGACCCAGTCTCACTGACTCCGACACACCTACCCCCACTGTAAGTCCTCCATCCCGTCCTGGGTCTTCCTCTCTTGCTGAACCTCGACTCTTCTGAGCATGATGTCCTTCTCCAAGGACTGATCCCTCCTGGCCACATGCCCAATGTATGTGAGACACAGCTTCAAAATCCTGGCCTCCAAGGAGAAACTTGTTTCATCCTCTCTAAGACAGGCCTATTTGTTCTGCTGGCGGTCCATGATATGTATGTTCAATACTCTTCTCCAGCACAACTCAAAGGCATCCATTCTTCTTCTGTCATCTTTACTCACTGCCCAGCTCTCTGATGCATAGCAAGTAATTGTGAAGATCATAGCCTCAATCAGGTGCACCTTAGTCTCTAGATTGACATCATAACCCTTTAGCCCTTTGGAGAGGTCCCTGAAGGCAGACTTCCCCAGTGCAACTTGTCTTTTGATTTCCTGAGTACTGAGAGTATTGATTGTGAAGCCAAGCAAGCTGAAATTGTTATCTACCTCACTGTCTTCTCCATCCATCACGGTGCTGCCAATTGGCCCAGTGGTGGGAATCTTTGTCTTCTTGTTGTGAAGCTTCAATCTATATTAAAGACTACAGTCCTTGACTTTCTTTTTTTTTTTTTAGTCCTTGACTTTCTGATACAAATAATTCAGGTCTTCCTCAGTTTCAGCAAGCAATTATGCATTATCATTGCATAATGCAGGTTGTTGATGAGTCTTCCTCTAATCCTCCTCATAAAGTCCTGCCTCCTGACAATCTGTTCTGTGTAGATTGAATAGTTATGGAAAAACCATGGTTAGAGGGCTTAAATGAGGAACATGTATAGGGAGCTCTGGTGGCCTAGTGGCAAGAAGCTGCACTGCAATCCCAAAGGTACATGGTTCGAATTCACCAGATGCTCTGCTGGAGAAGGAGGAATAATCTCCTCCTGTACCAGTCTGATCCAATTTGACGGTACATGCACAAAAAAATAATAAAAAAATTTAAGAAATGAGGAACATGTCTGATAATTTCTAGAGTTGCTCCCTGCATGCTGCTGAGGGAGACATTCAAGAGGAGCACCTGGGGACAGTGCCTTGGGAAAAGAGAAAAGTGTCTGAATTTGGGGCCAGTTTATAGGTAGAGTTTAGCAGATATGATGGATGAATAGGAATTTTAAAGAAGGGGGTACATCAAGCTCAACGCCTCAGTGTGTAGCCAAGTAGATGAGAGGAGAGTAGGGCCATTGCTTTGATGTGGTTGATTGTGTGTGCCTCAGGTTTAGGTGGAGAGGGAACTGAGGTGGAGCATTTCAGATCCTCTGGGGGGGTTGTCAGGGAGGAGCTCTCTTTGTCCGTTTCCAAACTCTCTGCAAACTGGTCCTTTAATGGCCTGGAATCCACCCACTTATTCACATACGCATTTGCATCTGTAGAGGGACCTTTCTCAGTCTTCTGATCTTGGATCTAATGCCATCCTTGGTGGTCTTCCTAATCAGATTGTATCTGCAGGTGTCTTGTTCACTGATAAAATAAATGGCCAGTACAAAACTCAACACGCTGTGGTATCCATTTATTTAAAAGGGACTGAATAAAGGCTCTCCTTCAGAGGCCAGTCTCTGTCCAGTTAGGAAGACACAAGAGATTGCCTGTCTTTCTCCTGTAACACGCTGGTGGATTAGAACAGCATACCTTTGGGTTTGCAGCACAACTCTTTTTTTTTTGTTTGTTTATTATTATAAAATTTTATTAGTTTTAATGAACATTTACAGAGATTTTGGGTTCTCATTCATTCATTGTGGCACCGTTTTCTCTACCCTCCTCCCCAGTTCGTTCTTCTCCCCCCCCCCGCGAATGTCTGTTTTAATTGTCCAATTGCCACAGTTGCAGCACAACTCTTTACCACTACGCCACCAGAGCACCCTAGGAAGACACATGATATTAGAGACCCTCTACCCTAAAGGGCTCATAGTTTCGCTCTTGGGAATTGGGGAGATGACAGTCTTGAATCCCAGAGGATTCTAGAGAAAGCAACAGCTGCGGGGAGGGGAGGGTGGAAAGAGCAGAGAACAGAGGGTTATGCTGCACGAGAAGGCTCTGGAGACTCGCGAGGCCACAGGAGATTTCACTATCCCATTTGAGAAGACTCAGTCTGGTGACCCAAATCCTGTCTAAGGGTGACACCTAAGAAGCGATCTCCAAAGGGCAGAAATGGACCGGGTCAGCGCTGTGCAACACGCTGGCTCTCCACCAGGTGGCAGTAAAGGCAGAAATGGTCATTTATCGGACACTGAGAACTAGCGAAGTAGAAAATACAGGCCCTTCGCGGCTTCCGTATGACAGAATCGTCTCCTAAAGATGGCCGCAACCAAGACTCCCAGTTTCTAACAGGGTCATGTGACTGCGCAACTTCCGGTCCTCTTCTGCAGGTTTCCGCGCTCGTTCGGCTACCTGCGCTCTGTCAGGGGTGGCGGGGTGTCGGGACGGCGCGGAGGCCCGGCCGCGTGCGGCTCTGGCTTGAGAGCGCAGCGGTCGGCGCATGGAGGACCCCTCGGGGAGGGAGGCGCCCGCGGCGGCACTGGCCGCCGTCCTGAAGCACAGCTCGGCGCTGCCGCCGGAGAGTGCCCAGGTCCGCGGATATGACTTCAACCGCGGCGTGGACTACCACGCGCTGCTGGAGGCCTTCGGCACCACCGGCTTCCAGGCCACCAACTTCGGACGCGCAGTGCAGCAAGTGAACGCCATGGTGCGGACTGCGGCGGGACTCTCTGGGCGCGAGGGGGCGTTGCCTTACGTAGGACCAATGCAGTGCTTGGAGGGGCGGGCTTTCGGCGGAGCGACCCAATAAGCGGAGGGAGGCGGGGCCTATCCTGGAGGGAAAGCTTAGTGTTTGGAGAGGGGTTCTTTGCTAACCCAAAAGTGGCGTGTGTCTGGCGATTCGAACCCACCAGCTTCTCCACGCGAGGGACAATGTCTTCTCGGGCACTGTATTATTGTTAGGTGCGATTTATACCTTGTCTTATCATCATCTCTTACACAGTTGAACCCACTCCTCCATTCATCAGAGAGTCTCCCTCTCCTCTGACCCTCCACCTTTCTTAGTAAGATGTTCTTTTCCAAGGACGAGCCTCTCCTAGCAACATGCCCAAAGTTGTTGTTGTTGTTATGTGCCGTCGAGTCGTTTGCGACTCATAGCGACCCTATGCACAACAGCCCTAAACCGTGCTCTATCCTGTGCCAATCTCACTGCCCCTGACACACCCATCCCGAGTACCCCAGTCACTGAATCAGCCCACCTCATAGAGGATCTTCCCCTCCTGCACTGTCCCCCTACTCTACCCGGCATAATGTCCCTCTCTAAAGACCTGTCTCTCCTTACAACATGTCCAAAGTATGTCAGATGAAGCCCCAGAATCCTTGCCTCCAAGGAGCAGCCTGGTTTAATCCTCTCTACGATCAATCTGTTTGTTTTCTTGTCAGTCTATGGTACATTCAATACTCTTCTCCAGCACCACAGCTCAAAGGCGTCAATTCTCCTTCTGTCCTCCCTAGTCATTGTCCAACTCTCTGATGCATAACAAGTGTTTGCAAAAACCATGGCCTGTATCAGGCGGACCTTAGTCTCCAGAGAGACACTGTTGCTCTTGAGTACTTTAGAGAGGTCCCTAACCGCAGACTTCCCCATCGCAATTCGTTTTTTGATTTCCTGGCTACTGGTGCCAAGAGTGTTGACTGTGGAGTCGAGCAAACTGAAGCTGTGAACAATCTCAATCTCTTCGCCATCCATCCTGATGCTACCGATTGATCCAATGGTGACAATTTTTGTCTTCTTGACATTGAGCCTCAGTCCATATTGAAGGCTACCGTCCTTGACCCTCTGCAGCAAGTGCATGAGGTCCTCCTCAGTTTCAGAGAGCAAGGTTGTGTCATCTGCATAATGCAGATTGTTGATAGATTGTCCACCAATCCTAACGCCACGCTTCTCCTCATAGAGCCCCGCCTCATAGAGCCCCGCCTCTCAGATAATCTGCTCTGCATACATGTTGAAAAGGTATGGAGACAGGATGCATCCCTGGCATACGCCCTTCCCAATTTTGGGATTGCAGTACACCTTCTTGTCACTAGGCCACCAGAGCTCGCCAGCCCTTCCCAATTTTGAACCATGCATTGTTACCCTGCTCTGTTCTGACGACTGCCTGTTGGTTCAAGTATAGGTTTCGCATTAGCACGATTAAATGTTCTGGGATTCCCATTCTTCTCAGAGTCAGCCACAGTTTGTTATGATCCACGCAGTTAAATGCCTTTGCATAATCAATGAAACACAGATAGACATTCTTCTGGTATTCTCTGCTTTCAGCTAAGATCCATCTAACATCAGCTATAATATCCCTAGTGCTCAAAGTACAAAAGACAAAACTTTGCCATCCTTGCCTCCAAGGAACACTCTGGCTGCACTTTTCCCAAGATAGAGGTAATGTACGTTGCTGTTGACTGCTAGGTAAACAGATTTGTCCTGGAGAGGGCGAAGCCAGGCTCCTCCTTGGAGGCAAGGATTCTGAAGCTTCGTCTGACATCTTTGGACATGTTGCAAGGAAGGACCAGTCCTTGGAGAAGGATGTCATGCTTGGAAGAGTGGAGGGACAGCATAGGAGAAGAAGACCCTTGATGAGATGGATTGATTCAGTGACTGGGGTAATGGGGGTAGGTGTGTCGGAAACGGTGAGATTGTCACAGGATAGAGCAGGGTTTAGGGCTGCTGTACATAGGGCTGCTATGAGTCGCAGGTGACTCGATGGCACATAACAACGTTGTTGTTAGGTTCGGTTGAGTATGACTCATGGCAACCATATGAAGGACAGATCAGAACCCTTTAGTATGTATGCTGTGCCAGAAATCCTTTGAAGGGTCTGCTATGAGTCGGTTTCAACTTGACAGCATTAAAAATTATGAGAGTGCGAAGACAGTGGTGTGTTGTTGGTGTTAGGTGCTCCTGGGCAAGTGAGGCTTTTCTTTTTTTTTAATTTTTATTTTATTATTTTTGTGTGAGTGTACCGTCAAATCAGATCTGACTGGTACAGGAGATTGTCCCTCCTTCTCCAGCAGGGGCATCTGGTGGATTCGAACCGTGTACCTCTGGGATTGTAGTTGCAGCTCCTTGCCACTAGACCACCAGACCTCCCCCGAGGCTTTTCTTTAGATAGGGCGCATGATCATGCAGAGTGCTGGTATCCTGCACCCAGCTGAGACTGGGCAAAGCAGTCCTGTTAAGGGCAGGGTGCAGAAGGAGCCTAATTCAAAGAAGGGCCTGAATTTGGGTTTATACTTCATAGCTGGGAAAGTAAGTTGGACTAGAATGGTCAGTGTTGCCGTCTGAAAGAGGTCTGATTGGGAAGAGGGTCAGGCCCTACATTTATACCCTGGATACAGATAAAAGTATTCTTACATCTCTGAGTGGGCAGGGCCTGAGCCTGAGCTGGACTTTGGGCTCAGCTCATCTTGCCTCTACATATAGATCGAGAAGAAGCTGGAGCCACTGTCACAGGATGAAGATCATCATGCAGACCTGACCCAGAGCTGTCGCCCCCTCACTGGCTGCACCATTTTCCTGGGCTACACATCCAACCTCATCAGCTCAGGCATCCGTGAGACCATCCGCTACCTTGTACAGCACAACATGGTGGGGACACTGGGCATTGTGGCTTTGGCCTAAGTTCCAGTAGGGAGTTATTGGGCCCATTTTAAGAAGCAAAAATTTTGTTTTGCAGAACTCCCCTCTAAGTGACTTTAGATTAGTTCAGGATTAGGGGTTTGGAGTGTTGTTGGCATGAAGGCAGAGTCCCCCTTCCTAGCTAACCTGTCATCTGGCTACAGGTGGATGTCCTGGTGACTACTGCTGGGGGTGTGGAGGAGGATCTCATCAAGTGCCTGGCACCCACATACCTGGGCGAGTTTAGCCTCAAGGGCAAGGAGCTCCGGGAGAATGGGATCAACAGGTGGGGAGCCTTGAATGATGCTGAGTTGGGGGCTGAATTGAGGGGAGTGTGTCTTGACAGCCACTCTCCTCCTGTCCTTAGGATTGGGAACCTATTGGTGCCCAATGATAATTACTGCAAATTTGAGGACTGGTTGATGCCCATATTGGACCAGATGGTGCTGGAGCAGAACACAGAGGTGACTGGGCAGCCCTGGGGGTCAACGTAGTTTGGGTCAGAGTCGGAGTTAGCTAAAACTGCCGACCCCTCCTAGGGTGTGAAGTGGACACCATCCAAAATGATTGCCCGGCTTGGCAAGGAGATCAACAATCCAGAATCAGTGTATTACTGGGCCCAGAAGGTAAGAGCATAGGAGGTACATGGCAGCAACAAATTCCCACCTTCATTGCCATGTGGGGAGTCAATGCTGATATTCTAATCATCCTTACCCTAGAAATGGAGACCTTCAGACAGAACAGTCTAAAGTCACAGAGCTACCACCCTGATAAAGCAGCAGGGGGCAGCAGTTAGCCAGCTCTTAGAGGCTGTGAGGTTCATGAGGCTGAAAAATATTGAGAGCTTCCACTCTTTTATTTTTTTTTCTATATTTTATTAATTTTCATAAACATTTACAGAGATTTTGGGTTTCCATTCATTCATTGTTGCACTATTCTCTCTACCCTCCTCCCAGTTTGTTCTTGTCCAAATGCCACAGTGCTTGTCAAAGCCAGTTCTGATTAATCTTCTTTGTCAGTGTGTCCTTTGCCATTCCCTATCACTCCTCCCTGAGAGAGACTTCACCCTGAGTCATAAGGAAAAGGGGATGGCGTATTCTCTTAGCTACTTCCTGCTGAAAAGGGACGCTGTGGGTTTCAGGGTGAAGATCTTCTCTCGCTACTCTAAAGGGCCCCTTTGGCAGTAGGAAACACATAGACTGTTATGGAGATTGATTTTGGAATTCAGATGCACTCTTATTGATTGTGCTTGGCTGTACATGTACATATCCTTCAAGATGTATCATGGGGGTGTTGCAACCTAGAAGACACAAATTTGACTAACAAGTTATAAGTACATGAGTCCAAAAATTATGGAAAAGTAAAAGAAAAGATTCTTTCATTGTTTTACAAACCCTCCCCCAGGTCCCCTCCACCATCACTCTTTTAGATTTTTTAAATTTATTTTATTATTTTTGTGTGCGTGTACCGTCAAATCAGATCTCACTGGTACAGGAGGAGATTGTCCCTCCAATCAGATCTCACTGGTACAGGAGGAGATTGTCCCTCCAATCAGATCTCACTGGTACAGGAGGAGATTGTCCCTCCTTCCCCGGCAAAGCATCTGGTGGATTCTAACCGTTCGCCTCTGGGATTGTAGTTGCAGCTCCTTGCCACTAGGCCACCAAGGCTCCCCCAAGAGCTTCCACTCTTTATGTGCTAGACGTTGTCCTAAGTATTTTGTTTCAGTTGGCCCATATATGCCACCTCCACTAAGGCAGATAGTGCTATCTTTAGTTTATAGATAAGGGAACCAGGGCACCCTGACCCAGATCAGGCAAGAGGAAGGGGTACAATGCATCGGGACAGAGACCGGGCTTTTCCACCGCTCTAACCTCCAGCCTCTGTCCTCCTTAGAACCACATCCCTGTGTTAAGCCCGGCGCTCACGGATGGCTCGCTGGGCGACATGATATTCTTCCACTCCTATAAGAATCCAGGCCTGGTCCTGGACATCGTTGAGGGTGAGGTGCTGAGGCCAGCGTGGAGGGTGGATGGAGGGATGGCGGGCAGGACTCAAGGCCTGACCACAGCCTCTTGTCCCTAGACCTGAAGCTGATCAACACACAGGCCATTTTTGCCAAGCGCTCTGGAATGATCATCCTGGGCGGGGGTCTTGTCAAGCATCACATTGCCAATGCCAACCTCATGGTGAGTAGATCCAGATGGGGAGAGGGTGTAGGCCAGGGCCACAGTAGGGGTGGTACAAACACAGCTCTCTGCTAGCTGCGTACCATATACTGAGGAAGCAGCTATGACTGGGGCAGGCAGGGCCCTCTGTCCTTAGCCAGCCAAGGGACACATCTATCAGGTGACAGTAATTGCTATGGAGAAAAAGAAAGTTGAGTGATAGCAGTTTAAGAGAAAGGGGTGACATTCAAGAAAAGGTGTTTGAGGGAGGCCTTTATGAGAAAAGGGCCTATAAGCAATGATTCATAGGAGTTGTCTTCCATACCTCGGGGCTAGAATCCTGGGCAGAGAGAACAGCCATTGCACAGGCCCTGAAGTGTAATATCAAGGACAGCAGAGGGGGAGAACTGGGGGACACGCTGTCAGGGTGGTAATAAGGCAGGGGATGCAAGGCCTCGTGGGCTGCAGGGAGGATTTTAGTAATGTCTGCTCTGGGAATCCTGGAAGGTTCTGAGCAGAGCGGTGTGCCTGGACTCGGGTCTTTGCAGGCACCATCCACTGGCTGCAATGGGAAGACTGTGGATGCGGAAGGGTGGAGGCCTTGAAGAGGGGGTTTGGAAGGTCCTGAACAAAACACTGGTAGCAGCTCAGGATGGTAGGATGGTGCACCTCAGGTCCTAACTGGATCTGGGAGATGATGTCCATACCAGTGCAGCTCTGGGACAAGGGTTAGGCAAGGGTTTCTCACCTTGGAACAGGGGTGCCAAGATCTTCCTTTCTCAAGAGCACATCAGTCACATGTCCACTTTCTCATGTTACTCTCTGTACCGCTCAACCGTGTGCCCGCTGTCCCGTTAGCTCTCTGCACTGCTCAGCTGTATGCCTGATGTCCCCCGTATCTCTGTGTACCGCTCAGTCGCGTGCCCACTGTCCCCCATATCTCCCTGCTTCGCTCAGCCATGTACACCGCTCAGTTGTACGCCTGCTGTCCCCTGTAACTCTGTGCACTGCTCAGTCGTGTGCCCACTGACTCCCCTATCTCTGTGCAACTCTCAGCTGCCGTCCCCCATATCTCCGTACAGTGCTCAGCAGTATGTCCCTGTTGCCCGTAACTCTGCACTGCTCAGGTGTATGCTTTCCCCTACAATCCAAGAGCAATGCTGTCTCTGGCCATGGTGTCCATCTCTGTCTCTCACTGACTGACCTGCTGTGCCTCTCCCCACAGCGGAATGGGGCTGACTATTCAGTCTACATTAACACAGCCCAGGAGTTTGATGGCTCCGACTCAGGTGCCCGGCCCGATGAAGCTGTGTCTTGGGGCAAGATCCGGATGGACGCACAGCCTGTCAAGGTGAGGGCCAGCTGTGGGGAGCAGGTCTCCGGTGGTGTGGCCATGGAGTCCTTGGCTCACCTGGTTCCCATTAACAGGTCTATGCCGATGCCTCTCTGGTCTTCCCGCTGCTTGTGGCTGAAACCTTTGCCCAGAAGATAGATGCCTTCATGCCAGAGAAGAACGAGGACTGAGCAGTGATGCCGCAGGGCGGCCACACCCCACCTCTATTTATTAGTTTAAAAAGCCAGCCCTGCCCCTCCCTGGTTGGTACCGTTGACTAAAGACATGGTCTCAGTCTTCCTTCTGAGTCTGTTTCTCAGTCTTTGGGGGTTGTCCCTTGGCCTCAGCCGGCTCCACCTTCCGCCTCGTAGGCCTCCTCCCGCCAGCAGTGGATGCTGCCCCCCATGGCAGTCAGCAGGCAGGGTTCGCTGGGGTGGAAGGCCAGGGACTGTACCACCCCAGAGCCTATGGGCAGGGCCAGTGCCAGGGCACCCTGTGGGGGAGAGAGAAGTTATTAGTGGTCCTCAGGTTCCCCAAGCGCCCCACCCTTCTCTGGCCTTCAGAGGTCTACCCTAACTGCTTCCCGACACACAAACCGAATCTGCTCAAAACTTAGTTCCTAAAAAAACAAAACAAAACAAAACAAAAAAAACAACTTAGTTCCTACGTAGCTGTGTTCAGCCAGAGACTCAGGGCGAACATCACAGGAGTCTTTTCACATCCCTTCTCAGTTCATTTTTTTTTTCTTCTCAATTTTGTTGTGTACCGTCGAATCGGATCCAACTGGCACAGGAGGAGATTGCCCCTCCTTCAGCAGAGCAACTGGTGAATTCAAACCATGCACCTTCGGGATTGCAGTGCAGCTTCTTGCCACTAGGCCACCAGAGCTCCCACCCTTCTCAGTTAATTTTGCTAGTTTTGTCTTCAGAACAGCATGTGGAGATGGCCTGTTCTCTGCACGTGGTGGCCACCACCTCCTCCCTGCTGAGATCCAGGCTCTCCTCTGACCAGGCCCACAGCCTCAGGGCCCCTCATCTCCCACAGTCTCAGAACAACTTGGACATATCCTCACGTAAACCCCACTCCCTCTTGCCATACTGAAAGTGTGCCACCACATGTCTGCTCCTTTGGTGACTTCATGTTAGCAGACCCACAAGATGGGAATATTTGTTCTCGGCTTCATTCCTATAGCCAGGCCAAGTCCCTTGAATCCCCAGGGACTTCACAGTCACCTCAATCCTCTGGCCAGGCCCAGGACGGATGTCTTCATTGAAGCTTGTTGGTCCTGGTCCTAGTGGGCTGGAATGGTGTGATCTCACCTGACTGCCTATCAGACTGGGTCTCCTAAAGGACAAGGCTGTAAACCATGGCATTTTTCAGATGTCGTTCAGCTTTCCTGAGCAATTACAGTTTTGTTTCACTCAGGGTCTGATGCCGTTTTTCCGCCTAGGGTTTATCGCCCTGCCTGATCTAAATCTTGTCATGAACCACACACCTCACCTTGCTAAAGTTCCTCTATTTCCTGACTGATGATGTGTGTTCCATCTCCTAGTCTTTGCTCACATTCTTGTCTTTTTCTGGAACTTCCTCCTTGCAACATCCTTCAAGACTGCAGCTCTAATTTCCATTCTCTTTAGACTGAGGAATGACTGAGATGACAGTGGAAGGGGTGGCTGTGTGTGTGAGCGGTGGGTGGGTGGGAGTGTACAAACCTCCACGAGATCCCAGAAGAACACCTTTCCATCCTCCGAGCAGCTGACCACATGCGTGTCACGCTCACTCAGGCAGCAGTCCAGCTTGTACTTCTGGTTCTTATGTCCTCTGTACCTAGAAACAGGCAGAGTCAGGGGTGCCTGGGCTTCACCAGGGGTGGCAGGGGAATGGGCCCAACAACCCCGAAGGACTTACTCGCCTAGCAGCTCTCCTGTGTCTTTGTCAAGAAGCCTCAAGGTGGAGTCTAGACTGGACACCAGCGTGCACTGCCCGTCCCGGCTAAAGCAGACACAGGTGATGGGGCCTGGTGGGAGAGGAGGGCTGGTGGGTGAGTCTAGGGTCCCCTTTTCTGCCCCACCTGTCCCAAAGCCCGGGTCTTGTACTCACTGCCCACATAGTCTGAGAAGAGCTGTCCCATCCTCAGGTCATAACGCCTCACCCGGCCGTCTACGGAGCTGTAGGAGACAGGACTGGGCTGAAACACCTTTGCTTTGCCTGCCCCATCTCCTCCCCCACTTAGGGTCCTGTACACCCTTCTCTGTGATGGAAAAATGAGCTAAAATGAACTCAGACCCTTCAGTTCACTCCATTCCCTCTGAGATTCATAAGTCTTCCTGAGGTTTAGGCCAAATTCTTAACAGTCCTACATCTTGCTTTTCCTGCACTCTCTAGCGCTTTCTCCAAAGTTCCCCTAGAATCTGACCACCCTTCTCTCCCCAAATCCACTCTCAAGGCCTGTGGCCTTCCCATAGCCACCAGAGGAAGTACTTTTGAAAAAAGCAGAGGAGGTCTGGTGGCATGTTGTGTAGAGTTGGAATCGACCTGTAGCTGACCCTCCGGTGGTAGGTTTTCAGAGGCAATTAATTGCACAGGAGGAGACTGCCCAACCTTCTCCTGTGGTGGCTTTGAACCTCATGCTTTCAGGATTGCAGCACAGCTTCTTGCCACGAGGCCACCAGAGCTCCTTACTGGTGACCTAGTGGTAAGGAGCTGTGCTGCCAACACAAAGGCGTGTGCTTTGGATCCACCAGCTGCTATGCAGGAAGAAGATGGGGCATCTCTCATGCAATTTTCTGTCTCTGAAAACCGCTGGGAGGGTCAGCTGTAGTCATTTTGGGTGGGAACACAAAGGGTTTCTAGTGGCTATGGAATACATGCAAAAGGACTTGGCTATAATGCCTGAAAAGGAAGCAAACAATACCAAGAATGGATGGGACTGAAAGCATTCTCATACTGCCTGGAGCATGTACCACCATGAAAGAGATCTGAAAGTTCTCACTTAGACAAAGACTATTTTCTAAAGTTCTTGGTAAGGTTGTTAGGAGTGCAGTAAGACCCTGTTCACGAGTACAAAGATGTTTTCTTGAAAATCGTTCATGCGTATCTATGTTTTGTTCCATATTACCTAGGATTTGTTAAACATTTACTTACTCTATGAGATCATGTTTTACTGTAAGCTTTGATTTTCTGCTAATAAAAGCAGAGAGGCTTTACTGTCTCAATGTCATTTGCCTGAAAGAACGGTGACCCTCTGAAAACCCACATTTCTTCTCACTGGTCTTCTTGTGACTCCGCAAACACACAAACAACAGTCAGCTATGGGTAGATGCTGACTTGACAGCACATGATGACAACAGACAATCATGTGACACCAAGCATTTCAAACCTAGATGCCATTATTCTCAGAAACACATGCAAATTCCTCCTCTCAGACCCTGTATGATCAAGCCGCTGACAGCCTCAATGTCTACTCCTTGTCCTGTTCCTGTGAGGAACCTTCACCATACAGACAACCCCTAAGATATCCCTCCCCACTTTGGGGCTTTTGGACCTGCTTTTCTCCCAGATATCCCCGTTATATGCCTCCCATTTGACCTGAAATGAAAAGCTGATCCCAAGTCAATTTTTCAGACAAGCCATGCTACTTTTCCCCCCTTTGCCTGCACTGTCACACACTTTGTTTACTGACTGTTCCACTAGAGAAGTTCTCTGAGAACAAGAACCAGGTCTATTCTGCTTCCAGGCAGATTCCCAGCACCAAGCCTGTCCTGCCTGGGGAGCCCTGGACTCTGGATGAATGACTATGTGCAGTGCTGGGTCAGGCTGATCATGGCAAAGGGGGAGCCTGGGTTCACTTGACACTTGGGTATCTGAGGCCCAAGAGCCTGGGGGAACTGTGGAGTCAGCCTCCCCAACAGGGAAGTAGACCAGCCAATTCTTAAGCAAGGCTATCAGGAAGACAAATGAGTGTCTACTCTGGGCCAGGCTCTGTGCAGGGCCTGGGGACATAGTTGGAAGGAAGCTAGACAGTTCCTGTTCTCACAGAGCTAGCACTGACTTGAGAGTGATCTAGCAAGGGCTCCCTGGGGAGGTGACACCTGAATTTGGACTAGAAGGATGTGAAGGAGCCAGTCAGTGGAAACAGAACTGACCACAAAGTTCAGGCAGCTCAAACTCCCACTGTGGTTGGTGATTAGGAATGGCACTGCCTTGGGTTATAGTAATACCTGGGCATGATTTCGTTTTGTTTAAATGCTTGTTTTCTGCAACTAGAATATATGGGAAGCCAAACTTTATACCAAATATTATATGAAAACCCTTGTTCAGGAATTGAAGAAATTACAGATACAGAAGTTAGGATTTCTCTTGTGGCAGATCCTAGAAGGTGAGCTGTTTGTTCCCTGCAAAACAGGAAACAGCAAGGGGCCTCCTACAGAGGGAGTGTTACTACTTCCTGGGCTGGAGTTCACCCTGAGGCATCAAGGTTAATAGATAAGGGTAAACCAAATTCTTGCATTTGTGAGCCCCTCCCTCCTGAGTCAAGCAGAAGGTTTTAAATAGATTGGATTCATACAAATACTAACCCCATTCTTCAACAAGATGGAAAAGGCAATCTCCAATTTCGTATGGAATGGAAAAAAGCCCCGAATAAGCAAAGCACTCCTTAAGAATAGAAGAACGGTAGGAGGTATCTC